TCGCCAGCTTGACTGACACGCCACGTGCCAACATCCTCTCTTCCTCCCAAGCGAGCGACAACCCACCATGGGAAACGGCAGGAAATAACGGTTGCAGGACAGAGGCCCGCGGGGGTGAGGGCAGGTCTCCGTGGACGCCGGGCTGGGTCCGCTCAGCCCATCGACGCGTTCTGGCCTGTTTCCCCTGAGGAACCAAGATGGGCTTCGGTGGGTCCCCACATCCATGTTTTCTTCTGAAAATGCTTTCTACTCAAATAATCGGAGAGAACCAACAAGAACACCCAGAGTGGGGACAGGAACCTCGACAGAGCGTGCTCCCGGCGTCCTGCCCCACGTGGGCACCGACCACTCTGGGATGGACCCGACCCGCCTGCGACATCGCCTCACAAAGAGCCCTGGTGGCAGGAGGTCCAGCCTTTGGGACACTCCCCGCAGCCCTGCCCACAGGCCACCCAGAACCGCCTGGGAGGTCAGTTCTCTTCCTCGCCTTCCTCTCCTGGGACGTCCAAGTGTCCACACCAGACTCTGCCCCCACACTCGGTCCAGACACAGCCTCTTCAAACCCACTCGCGCCCACTCCTTGGCTGCCCTCAGGCCCAGGATGGCGGCACGAGTTTGTGTTCATCTCCGCCCAGGCGCAGCTGAGGTTCAAGAAGCATTTCTGGGATGGAGCAAAGGATGAGCAAAAGAGAAAACACTGTGACTGAGAAGGGCCTGGCAACCAACACAACCGACAACAGGTCCAACCCCTTTTCAGTGACAGCCAAGTGTCGGCCAGAGGCGTGAGGGGCTCTCCTGTAAGAACCTGTCTTCTTCCGCCGGATCCCCCCACTAACGGCAAGGTAGGCAAGTTCTGTGCACGCAGAAACTTTAGTCAGCCACCACAAGGGGCTCTTTCACGGCAGAACACAACCATAGGGCTTTTTCTAAATTCGGAGCAAAAAACACAAACCACAAACTTACAACGTATGCGGGGTGGGGAGAAAGACCCTGACCAGTAACAGGCACACGCTCCAAAGCCAGCTGCTTCAAAGGCATCCATTTGAGAACCAGACACCTCCCGTGTGGCATGAGGCTGTGGCAATGGACACGCGACCAGGTGCATGGCGCACCTGTGCCCTCTGCCCCAGGCCCACGCACGCCTGATGCCCCTTGGACGCGACGGGAAGGACCAGGACATTAGGCCCTGCTGTGGACCGAGCCAAGGCACCACTTGGAAGCACGACCCACGTCCCACCACAGGCTAGGAACAGCTACCTCGCCATGGAAGACCTTGCCCGCAGCCCATGAGGTGGCAGGCAGGCTCTTCAGTCTTGTGGAGCGCAGCTCTGTGGTGAGCAGTGACTGCCGGCCAGGCTCCTGTTCCAGCGGTTGTTTTGAGAAGATGGCAGAAAACGCTCATCTAACCCTCAGGAGGCAAAACCCACAGAAAAGGTGGTCATTCCCGGTAGAATGATCCCACGTGGAAGTAAGCACAGCTCAGCCAAGGCTGGCTCAAAAACAGGAGGGTGAGGGCGCCTCCTGGCATGTCCTTCTGTGCCGGGCCTGGCGCGTGCTGAGGTTCCGGGATGGGGGCGACACGGCAGCTCCAGTTCACGCAGCCTTTCCGGCCCCCACGGCAGCCGGCTTCTCAATGAGTCATTCAGCCCCCTCTCCAGGCTGGCTTTGGTGCCAGCAGTGCCTGGTACCGGGCCGCCCTGACACAAGCCTCCATCCCAGAGGGGTGGGAAGGTGCCACATAAGTGCTGGGCCAGTGGGTGCCTAGACAACGCCTCCGGTGAAGGACAGTCCCCAGGGCCCTGGGCCTCGAGAGGATGGGGCACCTGGGCCCCAAGGCAAGGTTCCTCACCTTGGGGACTCAACAGGGTGCCTCAGGTCCGCCTGGAAAGCGACTCGAGACAGTCGATGTCTGGCGCAGAGAGCTTTTCCCACTCCACTGGAAAACTCCTGGACGACTGGCCATTTGAAACCCATTCTTTCTTTAATTACCTTAACCAGAGTCCAGTTGCTTTATTTATTCACTTGAGTTGAAACTCACATAACATAAAATCAATCACTTTAAAGTGTACAATTCAGCAGCATTTAATACATTCACAACGCTCTGTAACCACCACCTACCTATACAGCATCACATTCAAAAACATTTTTCTCAACAACTGCTTTACTTTACTGTCTGAGGATAGTGGAACCACTTAGGGTTTTTTACTTCATTTGGAGGGACTGTCTTCTAACAGCCTCTGGAGATCCAAGGCCATCTTCTTCCTAGTTTTTCTTTAAAATTTCTTGTTTTCCTTCCCCAAAAGTCACTGGGCAAATGTACCTTCTCAGGTTAGCACTTACTCTGTGGTAGTCTGCTTTTTAGTGACTTCTCTGAAACCCATTCTTAAAACAACAGTATGAGCACACCTGCTATTTCTTGAGGCGTCAGCAGAGAAAAGAAAGCTGGAGGGACGCTGCTGCTTCTGGACAGGCAGCTCTGGCCCTCCCAGGACCCTCAGCTCAATTCTAGGAAACAATCACTCCACTTCCAGGAAGAGTCGTGGGCCTTGGCTGAGATCCTGAATCCCCTAGCTGCCTGGTACTGCCCGAAACTGGGGACGAGGTACAGCAGCAGAGGCTGAACGGTGACGATCCATAACCGTCACGTGAAACACATGCCTGCTCTCCTGACAGGAGCCCGGAAGTGGGACTGAAGTGGGGCACGCAGTTTAGACCGTCAGTTACTGACTGCTCCTCCTTTTTACGGAAAATAATTCCCAAGGCCTGTTTCTGCGTCAGGCAGAATGCTGGACAGCCTGAGCAGTGACCCCCGGGTTGCATTCTCACCAGGACAGCCCCACCGCACCCAGAGCCAGGCCTACAAGACACCTCTGGGATTGCAAGGGACACCCAGTGATGCCATGTCCAATGCGGGGAGGCTGGAAAGCCATGGACGGCAGCGGGACAGGAGTGCAGCTCAGGTGTACTAGGGCGTGGATCCAAGCCAAGCAAACTGTGACTAGCGACTAAAGCCACCTCTGGAGTCCCAGCTGAGGTCGGTCCCTGGAGCCCAAGACAAGCCTTTTCTGGGCAGTGGGCTGCACTCCTTCCAGATCACCCCCCACACCCTATGGCTCTGCGCTGAGAACAGAGCCCTGAGAGGGGCTCCGGAAAGGTGGAGGCCACCTGCGGATCAGGAAGGAGGTGCTGAGAGGTTTCTGTGTCCTCTGCAAGGCGGCGCCTGGCGCATTCTCAGGGAGCTTCCCTGCAGAGGCCCAGGCTGGGGATCCCTGCCCAAGCCCCTCCCCATGAGCCCCCAACCCAACATCACTGCCTCCCAGATGATCCGAGAGGCTTTTCAGGATCTCGTGCTTACACAGAAGCGCCTGCCCAAGCACACGTGTCGTTTACGGAAGCTGCTCCCAGGCAGGGCATAGGGCGAAACAGAACTAGAGAAAAGGGACCTGGAGGAAGCTGGCAGGAACCAGGGAGGAAGCGGACTGTTCAACATCCCTGAGGAGGCCAGGATATCATGTCTATGAGACAGCAAGAACATTACTGAAGGCACACTGAGAGCAAGAAAGTGCTCTTAAAATTTTCAAAAAGAGGAGAAACAAAAATCCAAGAAAGGGTGGAAGGAGGGACTGGAGAACCTCCCAGAAAGCAGAGAGGCAAAAGGAAGAGATGGAGGAAACAAGAGGACCAACTCAGAAGCCACCAAGCCCACCCAGGCCCAGGACACGCAACTGTAGGAGAAAGAATGAGGCCATCTCCTGGGATTGCAGGAAACGAGCCCTCAGAGGCGCCAGGCCCGTTGTGGGGACGCTGTAGCCTGAGGGGGACACAGAAGCCCCCAGAGTCTCAGGGGAAAGGACTGGGACTAAGAATGGCATCAAACTCCTTGACAGCAACAGCCAGAAAATGATTTTTAAATTCGGAGGGGAAAATGTTTCCAACCTGAATTCTGTATCCAGAAAAATCATTCATCTAGTGGGAATAAAAAGTCACAGTAACTGTCAGGCATGAAAAACATTTTTTAAATGTATGTCTCCTGTCTCCTTTCCTAGGAAATGACTGGAGAATGTTCTCTAATACAGGTTCAAATCAGGGAAGGGCAGTGTGCGGAAGTCAGGGAAGCGCCCTCCCTCACCTCTTGAGAATTCCCAGGATGACGGAGAAGACGATACCCCCATGGTCAGAGGGGTCCCAGAAACTTCTGAACCACCCTGAAGGAAAGACCCAAATTTTGTCAGAAAAGTGAGAATATTTCTAATACAGACCCAATGACCTCCAAACTCAAAAGACCTCTAACATTACAAGCCACATAAACTGAGTTGGGGCTGAACTGAATCTGGCAAAAAGTAGAATTGTATTTAAAGATCATGATTAAAAGGGAAAGATTTTGAAGTCAGTTGCTTTTTATTTTATATAGTGTACTGCTAACCTTTGCCAAGCCTCACAAGTTGCCTTCATTTTTGATCTTCACACTGGAGAAACGAAGAAAAGCCTTCTAAGAGACACAGCTTCTACAATCTTGCCCTTATGAGCAAAAATAGTTTCTCTGTGCAGGGCCTTTTCTCTTGTTTAACCTCAGCAGTTTTCTTAAAACTTTAGCTCTAAGACGCACTTTAGAGACTGGTGTCTATTTCTGTAAAACCCAGAAAATGACTGACCCCCGTGCTCTTTCCTAAAAACACTTCTTTACCAGAAGAAAAAAGGTCAAAACGCGGTTCAAGATTGCAGAGTCGATTTCCAAGAGAGTTCATTCATTTTCTGGGTGGAGCACTTCAGGGCAGAAGAAAGAAGCCCGAAAAATCCCCACGCGCCTCCCCACCCCCCCTGGGAAAGAGCAGCCGGCGCAGGGCGGGGAACGAGGAGGGAGGGGCGCCAGGT